GGGCAATATGCTGACTCTGTAAACCGCTTAGAGAGGGCTGAAAGCCCTATGAAGCGGTATATAAGTCTAACTGCTATTGCTATTGCTAAATAAATGCTTGATCTGAAGAGAGGCCCAGCGTTATTGTATCTTGTTTTAAATAGCAGAGAAAGCCACATCGATTTTAACAGCGTCTTATACAAGTGGAGTCTGAAATGTAACACTACACTGTATATTGTCTGTACTGTTTGTTGCAAGGAAGCAAATTACTGGGAGGCAGATATTTTCCCCTTATTTTCCTCCTCAAAAGCTAGGTGTGTCTTATACTACGGAGCGTCTTATACTCTGAGAAATACGGTAGTCTGGGTCGTGAAACGCCTGCAGAAAAACCACCTACCTGCGTAGAAGTGGTAGAAGGGCCACCAGGCGGCGCTGTTGGGAATGTAGGTCAGGAGGGAGGCCACGTAGCCCCTGTAGAAGCCCCTCAGCCCGTCGGCCTTGAAGATCTGGGCGATGATGTCCCGGGTCTGGCCGAACACGGGGAACCGGCTGCCCTGGTGGGCCTGCACGCGGAAGCGGCCCATGCTGTTGTCCATTCGCTGCATCATCAGGTGCTGGGAGACCACGTCAATGGGCACCGTGATGCTCTGGGCCACCAGGGAGGCCGAGCCGCCGGCCACCAGGGACTTGATGGTGTTGCTGCTGCTGTACTGGGAGACGTACTTGCGGGTCAGCTCGTAGGTGGTCACGTAGCACTGGCCGGAGATGAGGGTGAAGGTGTTGACCAGGAAGCCGCGGTAGAGCCCGGCCGCCCCTTCGGCCCGCAGGATCTTGACGAAGGCGTCGAAGGTCCCGTTGTAGAGGCTCTTCCCCAGCTGGACCTGCAGCCGCGTCCGTATGAGGGTGAACGGGTAGACGCTGATGCGGATCATCATCGTCATACACACCCCGAAGACGTAGAACTTCTTCTTGTCCAGGTCTTCCCACTCGATGATCTGGATGTTGCGCTTGTCCTCCATGGCTGGCGGGAGGGGGAGCGCCCTGCGGAAGAGCAAGGGGTTGTGTGTGTGTGAGTGTCAGATCCCTAAACGCGATACTGCCATTCAATTGAGAGCCGAGGTGGCGCAGTGGTTAAATTCAGCACTGCAGGCTACTTCAGCTGACTGCAGTTCGGCTGTTCAAATCTCACCGGCTCAGGGTTGATTCAGCCTTCCATCCTTCCAAGGTGGGTAAAATGAGGACCTGGATT